GGTTATTTTAGGCATGTTAAATGTTTTGGAGAGAACGGTGACAGCATCATGTCCCAAAACTGGTTTTTTTAGGCATGTTAAATGTTCTGGAGAGAACGGTGACAGCACCCTGTCCCAAAACTGGGTTATTTTAGGCATGTTAAATGTTCTGGAGAGAACTGTGACAGCATTCTGATTAGTGTGTTTCAGTTTAAAGGATTATATGGTTTGTGCTTTACTGTATATTGATTAAAAAACTCTGTAGCAATGCAAGTGCTGAGTTACAGCAAAATATGCCAGTCAGTAAAATGTATAATGTATTGTTTCTGTTTGCCTTATTGAAATATACAACTGGAAAACATCATTAATACAATTAGCACGTGCAATTAAACAAAATATTAGAGCAATATTAGCAGTATTCAATTAACACAGGGTTATAAAACAAAAGGGTGTGGTCGTACTAGTTATCAAGCTAAAATTGTCAACACAAAGTGTTTTTTAAAATGTTACCATATTTAAAAGATGTAGGTCATGTAAAGTAGTGGCGGTATAGGAAAATGTGTTTACAAAATAAATAAAAAATAAACTGAACTACTGAAAAGGTAAGAACGAAGAAAAACTAGCAGGAATAAAATGCAGAGATCAAAAGCTTCCAACTACAGCATTTTCTGGCTCAACTCTGTCAGTCCCACAAAGTTCCAGCTAAAGGCCAAAGGAGTTTAGAATGACTATACTAAGTTCATCGGTATACTAATTCCACAGTTCTTCAGTCCCTCGCTAAACATAATTATGTTTATATTTTTGAGATTATATTAAAACAAAATATGACACCCACATGCTTGAGCAACATTTTAACCCATATCTAACGATTATGCCAAATAAATGTCTCCATTAAGTAAAAATTAGTAAATCTTTAATGACTATATATGACTTTTACATACTATTTACCAGGTCCCTTATAGTTAGTGACCTTTGGATATTTTCTCCAGGTTATGCTGGTATATTATAAAATAAACAGGAAGAATGGCTGGTTCGGCACAACTTGGTGAACTGATGAATGTAGGGGCACTTTCGGGGCGAGTGAACAGCGCAGAGGCACAGATGGACCATCATGGTCTCAGAGGAATGGTGCCACAAGGAGTGATCAGGAGATCTGGCTAGTAATCAAAACTCAGGGGTGGTAGTAGTAGTAGTAGTACATTTTACCCCACCAGGACATCACACAAGCGATAAACACCCGATGACACCATCATGTAGATGAGGATCACTGGTGGAGAGTTCCCGGAAACCGTGTTCAGCCATTAGACCACATTAATGGCCTGGCTAAATTGCGGCCCCTGGCAAGAGCCAGGGTGGGGCTTCAAAAGAACAAAAGATTGCATTCCACAAGGAGATGACCAGTTATCTTAGTAGTAACTCAGTGGAAATGTTAGATACAGATATACAATCAGACTGTTACTGGTACCATCGGAACTGCAACTCTGCACTGAGATGTCAATTCGTAATGAAACATTTAACAGTTATTTACTAGTGCCACTGAGAACCCATGAACCTACAGGACCAGCTGAAGATCTCTGCATTGTTTGCTGAATGCTAGGAAAATTCTAGGGAGAAAGTAACTCTTACGGCGTGCTGAGTGTTAGCCATGGGGGCTAGCATAAGTCTATTCATGTCGGTAAAAATCACATTTAGCATTTCTACAGGTGGCGGCGGAGTCTCGAAGGGCAGCTGTGAAACACATAAAGAGGTCAATGCAGATTTATACTTCAACTTTAAGCTTTGTATGGGTCTGATTTCAAAGAGTGGAGGCTCTGGGAACCAAGCAGTTAGTTTTCTTGTTTACAAAAGCAGAAGTTCTGAGTTTAACCCTCACAACGATAATTCTCATGACCAATAAAGCCTGGTATTCAACAAAGCCACACAAAAAAAGTAAGCTGTGAAATAATTTTCCAGAAAAACAAAGCAGTGAACAAGCAAGTCCCTTCCCTATGTAGGTTCCGGTGTCCCATGGATTGGGAGGATTAACTGGATTGATTCCCATGGCCAGTTTGGCTTTATGACATGCTTGTCTTCATAAAGAGGTGACTGGGAGATCCGAGGCAACCAGAGTATTTCTGGTGCTGCTGCTATTTCAACAAATACATTGTATAAACATGCAGAAATATTCAGGCAATCGTGCTTCTTCTCAATAATTCAGGCAATCGTGCTTCTTCTCAATAATTCAGGCAATCGTGCTTCTTCTCAATAATTCAGGCAATCGTGCTTCTTCTCAATAATTCAGGCAATCGTGCTTCTTCTCAATAATTGTTGCAATCGTGAGGTCCGTAGAATAATTCCAACAATCTCCTGGCTCTCAATATTTCAGGCAATCATGAACAATGTACCACAGGCAATCATGCCTAGACTCAATGTTATTTGAGGCAATCATGCCTCATCAATATTAACAGGCAAATCATGCCTCTCAATATTTCAGGCAATCATGCCTCTCAATAATTCAGGCAATCATGCTTCTCAATAATTCAGGCAATCATGCCTCTCAATAATTCAGGCAATCATGCTTCTCAATAATTCAGGCAATCATGCCTCTCAATAATTCAGGCAATTGTGCTTCTCAATAATTTCAGGCAATCATGCCTCTCAATAATTCAGGCAATCGTGCTTCTCAATAATTTAGGCAATTGTGCTTCTCAATAATTTAGGCAATTGTGCTTCTCAATAATTCAGGCAATCATGCTTCTCAATAATTCAGACAATTGTGCTTCTCAATAATTCAGGCAATCATGCTTCTCAATAATTCAGGCAATCATGCTTCTCAATAATTCACGCAATTGTGCTTCTCAATAATTTCAGGCAATCATGCTTCTCAATAATTCAGGCAATCGTGCTTCTCGATAATTTAGGCAATCGTGCTCCTCAATAATTCAGGCAATCGTGCTTCTTAATAATTCAGGAAATCATGCTTCTCAAAAATTCAGGCAATCATGCTTCTCAATAATTCACTATCATTAAGAGACTTTTAAAAAAATAAATTAAGCAGAAGATATCAAAAAGGAGGTATAAGATCAGAAAACTATAGCTAATCTTCACCCCCAGAAAATAATCAGTAATTACATTGAAACTTACTTTGAAGTCCCACAATATGATCAGTAAATTATACTAAGCATTTCAAAACAAAGAAAAGAAAAAATAAAGCTTAATCTGAAGTCCCACAATATAATCTGCAAATTATATGCTGTTTAAAAAAAAGCTTACTTTGAAGTCCACAACATGAACATGAACAAATATACGAAGTGTTAAAAAAATTAATTTAACAAAAAAAGCTTACTCTGAAGTCCCTCAACATATATGGTCAGTAAATTATACTAAAAGTTTAAAAATACTTTTTTTAAAGCCTACAATATTAGCAGTGAACTAAATTTAAAATACAGCTTGCTTCAAGTCCCACAATATAATCAGTTAACTGCTAGGCTCGCTAGCGCAGATGGCTAAACTGGACTACGAGGTGACCGGGTGACGAACTCCTTGTGGTCCGGGTTCACGCCCGCTGGGTAGGCAGAAAAGCCACATTCCTACCAGATTTACGGTATCTATCATGGAGTCAAGGCCAAAGAGTTGCGATATCCACAGTACCGAGCCAAACAACTCTTGGTTTCTTGATACTTAAAAAAAATTAAAATAAAAATTTTCTTCTTTTAAAAGTAAGCAAAGGACCCTTTTCAAGACTTGTGTATCACATACATGATATTCAACTCATATATTTGTAGACCAATCCCCATTTGTGGGTAATCTGGTCAACATCTTCCAGCCGCCTTGACTTCCCAGGATTTTACCTGGTACCCATTTAAGATTGTGACAACTGACAGCCAAGGACATTTTCAGTGAATTCTATTAAATGTCAAATTAAACTTACTTTGAAGTTGTGCCCAAGACCTAAAGCTGAAGCTGCGTTTCTGTTTTTGTTGGCGTTAGGGTCATATTGTGTGCGATCTGGTTCCCGTCTGTTAAAAATAAAAAACATTAACAATCTGTTTTTAAAAAAAAAAAAACTTTGTTGGCATCAGTTACTGTTTGTATTTTTTCCAAGTCACTCCCATCGTGGTTTGTCTGAAACTTGGTCTTTTGTCAGCTCTTCCGCCTCATGTACTTTCATATTTAAGAGGTTACTTATACCCTGTGCCCATCTTCGCATTGATCAGCTGTTGCCCCTCCTTTCTGGTATCATGCCTTCTGCTTTAAATTTTTTTTCCAGATCCACTATATGACCAAAATATTTCAGCTTCCGAGACAAAATGCTGTTTATTGGCCAATCTTCCTTGATGTTCAGATCTTTTAGATTTGTTCTCTTCTTTGTCCATAGTATTTTGAGAATCTTTCTATAGGATTTCAACTCAAAAACCCTTACTTTCTTTCCATTAAAAGTGAGAGACATTTCAGAACTCACATCCATGTGTTGCTACAGGGAAGATGCATGCTGTTAAAACATTGACTTTGATTTCCTTGCTGGTACTTGAACATAGATTTTATTGCTGTTTAATCTGTGAACTGCTATGGCCATCCTCCTTTTGACTTCTGTCGAACAGTCTCCATTGCTGTTTATTATGGAGCCTAGGTATTCAAAAAAGCTTGTGATATTTTCAATTTCTTCATCATTTATTGTTATTTTTGGGTAAAAGCCAGTTTGTCTGTGGACAGCATTTCTGTTTTCTTTAAATTTAGCAACAGGTTTAGATTTTCATTCTGTCTGGCTTGTAGAATAAAATGATTAAACAGAGAAAAAAAGGATCTGGCAGTAAGTACTCACCGATCACGCATGTCCCCGTCATTCTGCTGCTGCATCTGTATGTGAGTTCGTTGTGGTTGCACTTGAGGTAAAGGAGCTCTCTGCAACTGGGACTGTTTCTGCTGCTGCTGCTGTATGTGAGTTCGTTGTGGTTGCACTTGAGGTAAAGGAGCTCTCTGCGACTGGGACTGTTTCTGCTGCTGCTGCTGCGGTCTCGTAGAATACTGCTGTTGTGAGGAACTTGTCCATTCCTGTTGTACCTGCTTTTGTTGTTGTTGTTGCTTCTGCTGTTGTAGTTGCTGCTGCAGTCTCTTCTGCTCATCTTCTTTATCCTTCAGAATAGCTGGGCAGTGTCTGACAAGATGGCCAACCTTGCCACAGCGTCGACATCCTCTCACGTTGGGGGGACGAGATTCGGAAAGCAAATCCGTGTCAAAGAAATAGTCCTATAACATGAAAATGTAAAGAAGAAACGCTAAACAATTGTTCAACTAAAAATCATTTTTATTCTTCGCGTTCATTGGCTGTTAACTCCGTGAAATGTTCTGGCTGTTCGACCACTTCTGGACTCTAGCCCTGTTCCAGAACCTGAGTGTGGCGTGCACATCTGTTTTAAAGGATCTGACTCATACGTATGCAGTTGATGGTTCTTTGCCTCTCAGGCAGATGGACTCTGACTTCGAAGGAAGCTCCCAATTAGCCAACTCTTGACATGCATTTGGGTAGGCAGTGGGTCTATTCTTGTTTTCCCCCCACAATGGGGCCTCCGAACCCACAAGGAGATAAATACAATATAAGCCCTTATAAAACCCACAATACTCCCGAAAGCAGATACTTAAACCACATTGTGGGCATTGTGGCATCTAGTCACTGCACTATCTAAGCTCCCTAAAGGGGACAAAATAATTTGGCAAAAGCTCTGTTACATGATGAAATAATGCCACTTCACCACGCCACTGAGGCAGACCAAGAAAGACTTGGTTGCAGAATCTGACTGACTGGAGAATCCTTAGGCATGCAACCATGAAGTTCATCGCAACTGATCGCAAAAGGTGGACAGAGTTGATCAGATAACAGAAACTGGTGACCCAACAACAAGCAGTGTTAAAGGATGATATATAAAAAATTTGTTGCCATAAAAAAAAATGGAGATTACAATTCATTTCTTCTGAATATGTAAAGACCCTTGAGTCTTCAATGAAAACGGAATGTCGCAAAGCTCCTGTAAACACTGAGCCACAACTATTATACAATAAAATTTATACATGGCATCAAACTCACTTCTACTGTTGGCTGATACTTGCATATTTTACTGAGGAATTTGGGGACTCAAAGCTCTGCTCATGAGGACTGGCACGCAAAATAATCAGCACGCACTGCAGATATGTTCTCAACACGCAGTATGGAGGTCCTAGGTCTGGCTAGTTAGCCCTCTGTGGAAACCAAGCTGCATGGATCAGTGGAAGACATACATGGCACCAAAACCTTCATAGAGATCTGTGGCTTTCTTGTCTGAAAATGACTGGCAAAAACAAAGAAAAAAGGAGAAGACTGGGAAACTGATACTGTGACAGTAAATATAAAACAATGAGAACACAAAACAACAATACACTTACAGATGGTCTTTGGTATTTATTAAACATATCCATATTTTCATCAATTGGGCTGCCATACAACATACGTCCATTGATAAAAGTTTTGAAGATGAAATTGTTCACTGAGGAGGGGGAAAAAACACAATCAATAAGTATAAAATGGTAACAGGAAGAAAGTTGCATGCTGTCTCTCAACAAGAACTACAGGCAAAAAGATAGAAAAACAAGATTATGGCCTGGAGAGAATGAGGCACCTGGGTGTAACCAAATGGTCAGGCCGGCTCGCTTCACTCAGGAAAGGCAAGACGGACAAATAACCAGATTGTGACCGGTAACATCAGTATTGGAACTCTGCGCTGGCTGTGGAAAATGAGGACAAAGCACACATGGAAATGCCCCAAGTGCTGTGATGTCAATTCTTGACTAAACTCAACTCAACAAGACTGTTAAGATGACAACATATAAAGCATATACTGACAGCACTGCATCAATATCATCATCAATAAACAGGTCTTTTGCAGAATGTCGCTCTTATCAGGGCATGCCCAAAAGTCTCTTTCTCTAGCCTATTTTCCAGCCGTAAGTGCTTTCATAGCCAATTGATTCCTCACCTCTCAGGCAGATACACTCCAACTATGAAGGAAGCTACCAATTAGTCAACGCCTACGACATGCCTGTTGGGAAGCTTTGGGTCTATTCTTGTTTTTTCCACAACATGGCCTGAAACCCACATGAGGACAGTTTGGGTTGAGTTAGAAGCCTTGGATCAATTATAAAAATGTGCTTCAATGTGGATTAAAACTTTAGATCTTCAAACAGCAGGCAAGCATCTAGCCTCCTCACTATTTAAGCTTTCTGAAAGGGACAGGATAATTATACAATAGACCTGTCACATGACGATGGAATAATGTTATGAAAAAAAATGTTTTTAGTCCACCCCAATATCACCTACATGCAACCTGGCGAATTTTGACCTCGGTGTAATTTTCAGGGCTTTTGACCGTTACTTTATAATACTTGTATGCCAAAAGCACAAACATGCATGGACAGCAGCCGCAGTGTAGCAGCTAAACACTCATCTGCAGATGGGAAAATCATGGGTTTGAAAGGTGGACTGTTTTTAAAAAATGACCTTAGCTCTCTGTAGGTACCAGGTAAGTCAACGGAAGTAAAGGCAGCTGGCGTGACGCTGACTACATCACCCACCAAGTGCTAATTTGTCTAAAAAAAAAAATATAGATCCAGCCCTGGATATTGGATGTCCAGTACGATAAAGATGTGGGAAAAGGTCCTCCAAACAGGTACATTTCTACTCCACCTAGATCAAAATAAAGTATTACTTTTGAAACAACTGTACTATCTTACTGAATGTTCAAATGTGATTTTCTCAAGGCAAGGATTTAGCACTTAGAAAGCTTTGGTGTAGTGCTAATGATATGATCAATCCTTAACTGTTCCAAAATGTATACTAAAGGGCTTCAAATAAAAATCTTAAAAATGTTATATAAATTAAATTTACTATAAATTCTGCCAGCTTAGAAAGGACAGGGTTGCTGATATTAATTGTTAAAGCTTCTGCCGTTCTCAGCAGTCGCCTGTTCAGTGTGTGGTAAACCAAACAGAAAGCCCTGTCCTTGTCAATTATGTGAATTAAAACAGCCATGCCATTATACTGAAACTCTTGAAACCTGTCAATACTGTTGTCTGTTGTTAAGACTGTCAAAAGCATTACTACACAGTGTCAATGAATATGGTGATGCCACAATGACAGTTTAAAGATGGCTGACATGCACCACCAATGAGAAGTAGAGTTCTGTAATCCATTCTGACCTAAGTTTATCAAGAACTGTTGCCATACTCAAGAGCAGAAGGTGATGGCTTCCTATGGTAACTAGTTTTTACTGCTGTACATGGGGTTGCTGCAGGACAGGGGGAAAGATCATCTCGCCCAATGAAACAAACATGTAGGACAGGAAACAAAGAGGCTATAAAGTGCCTTATGCACTTCTAGACTCTTCTCAAAAGCCCTGCTCATTAAAAACTGTATGAAGAAGGCAGTGTTCAATGTATTAATAATACAATACTATGGTATATTACAGTGGGTATTATTTTTCTTTGACACTACCAAATGTTGATCTCCTATGGATTATTATTAAAAGATTAGTGATTTATCTATGTATGCGGCAATATAGACTATAAAATCAGACAATGTAATGCCAAAGATACTGACAAAAATACCTGAACTTAAAAGGGAAGTTGTTCTAACTTGTGATCTCATTGAACAAAGTTGAAAACAGTTTTAAAGAAAACAGTTTAAATAAACTGCTAAACATGGCTCTTGCTTTACAGTTCTGTACATTACAATTTTGAGATCAACGAAGAAACACATAACACTATAATAATTTGTTATCTGAAACTGCACATACTTGTTCTTGTCAATGCAGATCCTAAATTATGACTCAGATCAAATGGATCTGAAAGTGAGAGAAAAAAAACATCAGCAAACAGTTAAAATATAGTTAAAAATAATTGGTTAATATCCCCAGTTTCTGGACCTTTCACCTTGAATACAACCATCTTCTTCTTCTTCTTTTGCATTCACCCTTTAAAAAAGGCAGTTGGCACACAGTGTTGTGGTTTACAACTAGACTTTAACATCTGCCTTTCGGCCCAATATTCACAATATTAGTGGTCTTTTATAACATGCTGGTGTAGGGGTCTATTCTCCCCCCCTTCCCAAAGGGCCCTAGAATATCAGACAGCTGGTTGTTTCCCAAATATTCTCTCCGACCATGAATGTGTGACTGGCAGGGTGAGGTTACAGAAACCAGCTGATCTAGAAATGCACATCCCCCCCCCCCCCCCCCCACCACGTCAAGCACTGGACCTCGATAAAGACCCAACTCCCCCTGAAGTCATGGAAACACTGGTTGAAAATATACAGACACTCCTGGTTCCAAATAATACTGCTCTGGAGCCAGATTTGACAGTCAAAACACAGATCACAATATAGCCAGATATAACAGTCAAAACACAGATCATGTTATAGCCAGATATAACAGTCAAAACACAGATCATGTTCTAGCCAGATATAACAGTCAAAACACAGATCACGATATAGCCAGATATAACAGTCAAAACACAGATCACGTTATAGCCAGATCTGACAGTCAAAACACAGATCACAATATAGCCAAATATAACAGTCAAAACACAGATCACGATATAGCCAGATATAACAGTCAATACACAGATCACGTTATAGCCAGATATAACAGTCAAAACACAGATCAGATCACGATATAGCCAAATCTGACAGTCAAAATACCCAAACATCACAGTAAAGTCAAATGTGACAGCCAAAAAGTATAAACAGCACTAGAGAGCTAGATGTGAGACAATACAATCAGCACAATAAAATAAGAACGTGACCACTAAAACACATAATATAATTAACATCCATGATAAACAAACAGGCAGCCATGGCTGAGTAGGAGCTAGATGCTCCCCTGCCGGCCTAAAGGTCATGGGTTCAAATCCACATTGAGCTGGATGTTTCTTTCACCTCCAATTTTATTGGTGTCTCGGCTCTGTGGCTAAGTCGATGCAAACGCTTTGTAATGCTGGGATGACAGGTTCGATCCCAGCTGCGGGTCATGCTCCTTGCATTGGTTTTAACAGTGGTATCAAGAAAGCCGACCGTCCAGAAAGCAATGGCAAACTACTGGACATAAATTTGCCTAGAAAAACCACGCAACGTGGTTCTGCAACGTCCTGTAAATGATAAGCAACTAACCTAACCTAACTATATGAAGGTGAATAATCAGTAAAATGTGAATTGAGCAGAGAATGACCACGAAAGGCGAAACAGTGAATTATGATGTCACAATGATTTAAATCAGCCGTTAAAACTTTCATAGCAGTTGAAATCAAAAGTGTGGGCAGAGGATCTACTTTCAAGTAAAGCAACTAACAAAACATTAAAATAAACCTGTAATTATGTAGAATAACTAAAACACATTATCTAACCTTCTATTGCGATGCATGGTCCATTCCACAGCTTCTCAAACCGAGTCAGAGGCTTTCTTTGACGTATGGAGACTACATGTTCCTTGTACTTGAACTCTTCAACATAAAAGCACAAAAACCCCAGCCACAGTTCTGCAACAGACATGCTGTTCTTCCCCTTCTCTGGCCACAATTCATCCTGTATTAATTACATCAGAAACAAAAATATGAATTCAACAATTTATTTAAGACTCGCCTGTTTGGACTGAGAAAGATAGGCAACTTTTGTGATTGGGTAAATCCTTCTTCTTTTCTGTGTTTATTCTTAAAAGAGCAGTTGGCAGGTTGAGTTGTAATTTACAGGTAGACCTGCGATCAGTGTTGTGGGGTGAAAAGGGGGGGTGTCCCCAAGATGTCGTTACTGGGTAACACCGTCTACATTAATTATTGGGTACGACTGTCTACAGGAGCTACAGTAGCATAGTGACTAGATGTTTCTTACCAGCCTAAAGGTCTTGGGTTCAAATACACACTGAGCTGGGTTTTTTTTTTTTTTTTAAACTGACCTTGGCTTAGAGTTTGAGTTTGAACAACAGATAAACATCATGGCACACGGGTAGTAACCCATAAATGCTCCATTCTATCTTCTAACTCAAGTCTAGGGAAGCTCAGCACAGTGCACAGGCTCTATAGCACCAGGCAAGGATCCTCCAGACTCAAGACTTAACATTATTGATTGGGTAACATTCAACTTTCAGATTATTTAAGACTGCCTTTAGTAAGTTTGGGTGAGCCTGCCTGCAATAAAGACAGTCTGTTCAAAAAGCTGTAAATCAGTTAAATGGCTTTTATGTTTACCACTGTGAGTTACACTACCATACATAACACATTCAGGCAGCAATTGTATGACTTAGTGTCACACCTGTCTCTACATCTACATACAGCTGTAATGCCACTTTTTCTATCTACAAGCAGCTGTGATAGTTTTCTCTTCCTCTACAAACAGCTGTAATGCTTCTCTCCCCATCTACAAACAGCTGTGACGCCTTTCTATTTAAACAACAACAAAAAACGGTGATGCATTTCTTTCAGCTGACAAACATCCTTTCTCTCCATTTTAGTCTCTCCATTTACAAACAGATGTGTTGACTTTCTCTTTATGTACAAAAACAATTGTGTTGCCTTTTCTCTCCATCTACAAACAGTGGGGATGCCTTTTCTCTCCATCTACAAACAGTGGGGTTGCCTTTTCTCTTCATCTACAAACAGTGGGGATGTCTTTTCTCTTCATCTACAAACAGTGGGGATGTCTTTTCTCTTCATCTACAAACAGTGGGGATGCCTTTTCTCTCCATCTACAAACAGTGGGGATGTCTTTTCTCTTCATCTACAAACAGTGGGGATGTCTTTTCTCTTCATCTACAAACAGTGGGGATGTCTTTTCTCTTCATCTACAAACAGTGGGGATGTCTTTTCTCTTCATCTACAAACAGTGGGGATGCCTTTTCCCTTCATCTACAAATAGTAGGGATGCCTTTTCTTTCCATCTACAAACAGTGGGAATGTCTTTTCTCTCCAGTGGCATACAGCTGTGATGCCATTTTCTCCATCTACAAATGGCTGTGATGCCATTTTCTCCATCTACAAATGGCTGTGATGCCATTTTCTCCATCTACAAATGGCTGTGATGCCATTTTCTCCATCTACAAATGGCTGTGATGCCATTTTCTAAATCTACAAATGGCTGTGATGCCATTTTTTCCATCTACAAACAGCTGTGATGACATTTTCTCCATCCACAAAGAGTTGGATAACTATCTCTTCATCTATGTGCGTGTGTGTGTGTGTGTGTGTGTGAGAGAGAGAGAGAGAGAGAGAGAGTGAATGAACGAACAAACTTTATTTTCAAAGAGTTACAAACTGGGCACACAGGCCGTCTGACATTCGGCCCTTCTAAGCACTCATTTTTCAGAGTACCAATGCCTGTTATCAATAATGCCTGTTATGGATACAATAAAGAAAAATAAATCATAGAATAATGCATACACACATCATGTGTACACAATCGTATACACTCACACACACGTATACATACTCCTACGTTCTCATACATGCACACTCATATACAGACATACGTAAAACATACACACATGCATCTACATACATACACAAACATAAAACACATACATAGACATAAATGCACAAACAGAAAACACCACACATATACCCGAGTGAATGTGTGTGCACGCATACATTTACCATCCATGCTATTGTACTTTTTTTTTTTTTTGATATTCATATTATGCATATTGTTATATGAACATAACATGATTTATTGATAAAATACAATTGCTGTGTGAAAGATGGGTGTTTGGAAGGGGCCGAATGTAAGACAGGCCTATGTGCCCAATTTGTGACCTTTGAAAATAAAGTCTGTTCTGTTCGTTTGTTCTCTTCATCTATAAATATGTGAGCTTTCCACAGACAGCCTACTCACCAGCAGGGATAGATCGTCCTGGAACCAAGCATCCCATCCTTCCACCAAACGTTGTGGCTTCTTGTCCCCTCTGTACAGCTGTGGAAAGTTTAAACAAACAAATATTTACCATGCGTGACAAAATGTACCCTTGTACACAGGTACAGCATTACTTCAAATGATCTGTAATGGAAATTATTATCGTTTACTGTCTCCTGTGAAGGGTTATTCTGTATGTTGTTCAAAGAAATAGTCATCAAAACTCTTATATTAGTTCGATCTACACAGATCACTTACGGCCAAAAAGGAGGAGACGCCTGGCAGAATGTTAAGCTTCAAAGTTATTTAAGCTTCCAACAGCGCTTTGCTAATGCAGTTTCCACATAAGGATGGTAGTCTATGGTTTCGCTGCCTGAGCTACTGAGTTTAGTGCTTGGCTGTAGCCCTGTGAGATGTGTTTTTTCCTGTGGAATGCCTTTCATTTGTACAATGATTGTGTCATGGTATTCAATATGGCCAGTAGCCGGTTTACGTGTGAGCTGGTAAAATCCTGTATGTAATAATTCTACATGTGTATAGTAACCAATTTATCATGCTGGACTACTTCCATTAACGACAAATTGCATTTCTGGTAAGAATTATTGGCTCTGGCACCTCTAGCAACTGAAGTACGCATTTATTGCGTGCGTATTTTTCTGGATCGTTTTAGGGCTAGTTGTTCATCATTTTTTTCAAATCAGACAGTGAGGGACTCAGCATGGAACTGAACCAAGACATTCAGGCTGGCAGGCAAATAGCTGCTGTGCCACTGTGGCTCCCTTACCTCCCTTGGTAAGCAGTACAGCAGAGCCCATTTATCACTTACCTCTGCCCAGTTCCCTAGCGCAGTTGGATAAAACCCTCTGTGCGGCGACCGGGTGACAAACTCCATGTGGTCCGGGTTCACGCCGGGGTTGGGGGGGGGGGGGGGGGGCAGAGAAGCCACATTTCTCCCAGATTTACGGTATCTATCATGGAATCAAGGCCGAAGGGTTGCGATATCTGTAGTACTGAGCCAAAGGGTTTACAGCCCATGGTTTCTGGATACTTAGAAAAAAAAAAAAAAAAAAAAATCACTTACCTCTTGCAGAACTGGAATAACAGGAGGCTCTACTTGCTGCAAGTAGTACAACATCATGAGGATGTAAGCGTAGGAAGAGAGGCTGCCTCTGGAAGCATCTCCGATATCACAAACCTAGACAATACAACAATATTAGTGTCAATGCATCAACTTTTCTCCCTCATTCAACTTTCTAAGCCATGTCAATTCATCAACTTTTCCCATTCGTGCAACTTTCTAAGCCATGTCAATTCATCAACTTTTCTCCTTTTATGCAACTGTCCAAGCCATGTCAATGCATTAACTTTTCTCCCTTTAATGACGAACTGAAGACAAATCATGGAAAAACTCAATCAAATAACTCAAGAACTGAAGATCCCGAATGGTCTTGGTCACATCTCAATATAGCTCACCACCGTGCGGGCCATGTGCTGATGCTGTGCACGGGGTTAACGTTCTATCTGTGCTGCACAAAGTTCTGGTGTTTTCATGCCCTCATGAGCTTCAGTGCTAGTGGAGTTTAGGGTAGTCTGTTTCAGCTAAACAAATCTTGACTAACTATAGTCTGTTTCTGACCTAACTAACTGTGCCAAATGACATACAGCCTCCTCAGATAAGGCCAGAAAGCAGTAGTTATAAGGGCTGAAGGTAAGACAGATCTGCATGGCCATTTGTGACACTCTGAAAAATAAAGTTTGTTCCATCAGATATTTAAAAACAAAAAGAAGAAACAATAATCAAGCTAACAAAACAATTAAAGTGTGTTTTTTAAGCATACCTTGGCAAATGTCTTGATTGCATAGCCCAGTGTGTTCACTCGAGGATCAATTTTGTTGTAACAGAGCAATAATTTTGTGTTTTGCTCCGCCTGTGAACGGTGACAGTAAAATTGTGATTGCATTGTATAAGCACACAAAAATAAAAAATTGCATGAACATTTTTTTTTATTCCCTGCACAGGTTTTGGCGACCAGATTTGGGGAGGGGTGAAGGAGGGGGGGGGGGGGGGGGGGGGGGGGGGGGGGGGGGGGGGGGGGGGGGGGGGGGGGGGGGGGGGGGGGGGGTGGGGGGGGGGGGGGGGGGGGGGGGGGGGGGGGGGGGGGGGGGGGGGGGGACCCATTTTTTTCTTGATAAGCATGTTTTGAAAGGTGACAGAAGTTTATGAAATTGGATGTTTTGGACTAAAAGGCATAGATATCACAGCCTAACTGTAAATTACAAAACAGGATGGCAAAGAGGCTTTTAAGAGTAAATGATGAATAAGAAGAAAAGAAGCACGAGGAGGAGGAGGAAGAGGAGAAGAAGAAAAAGAAGCTCCAAATAAATGTTCTACAACTATTCACAATAACCTAATCAATCAATCAATCAATGACATTAAGACTTACATTACATGTGAACACCTCAGTCAACATCACCAAGAATTAAAACAAGCCAAAATTGAATAAAATACAACTAAAAAAAAAACTCAAATCAAACTACAGCAAGAACCACAATAAACTCACCAGTGTATTGTAGAGACTGATGTCCCCTTCCAGGCCAGTTTTTTTAACAGTAAATTTAACAATAGGCACTTTGGCTGTTGGAATGGCTTGTACATTTGTGAGATCCAAATGCTGTTTCATCTTCCTGGCAAGGGACTCAATGACCATGACCTTGTCCCCAATCTGGTGTAGATTAAATTATTATAAAGACCTTATCAATTATTTGATGCAGATGTTGCTGTCAGAAAGACATAGTCATCTATCTGACTTATATAATGCTATTACAGAAACCTAGATCTGCTGTAGATGACACGATTACAAAAATTTAGCTAACTATTTGCTGTAGATGACACTATTACAAAAATTTAGCTAACTATTTGCTGTAGATGACACTATTACAGAAACCTAGTCAACTATCTGCTGTAGATGACACTATTACAGAAACCTAGTCAACTATCTGCTGTAGATGACACTATTACAGAAACCTAACCAACTATTTGCTGTAGATGACACTATTAACCTAACCAAATGCTGTAGATGACACTATTACAGAAACATCTATCTGCTGTAGATGACACTATTACAGAAACCTAGCCAACTATTTGCTGTACTATACAAACACCTATGCTGTAGATGACACTATTACAGAAACCTAACCAACTATTTGCTGTAGATGATACATTACAAAAACCTAGCCAACTATCTGCTGTAGATGACACTATTACAAAAACCTAGCCAACTATCTGCTGTAGATGACACTATTACAAAAACCTAACCAACTATCTGCTGTAGATGACACTATTACAAAAACCTAGCCAACTATCTGCTGTAGATGACACTATTACAAAAACCTAGCCAACTATCTGCTGTAGATGACACTATTACAAAAACCTAGCCAACTATCTGCTGTAGATGACACATATTACAAAAACCTAGCCAACTATCTGCTGTAGATGACACTATTACAAAAACCTAGCCAACTATCTGCTGACAAAAACCTAACCAACTATCTGCTGTAGATGACACTATTACAAAAACCTAACCAACTATCTGCTGTAGATGACACTATTACAAAAACCTAACCAACTATCTGCTGTAGATGATACATTTACAAAAACCTAACCAACTATCTGCTGTAGATGACACTATTACAAAAACCTAACCAACAATCTGCTGTAGATGATACTATTACAAAAACCTAACCAACTATCTGCTGTAGATGATACATTTACAAAAACCTAACCAACTATCTGCTGTAGATGATACTATTACAAAAACCTAGCCAACTATCTGCTGTAGATGATACTATTACAAAAACCTAACCAACTATCTGCTGTAGATGACACAATTACAAAAATCTAACCAACTATCTGCTGTAGATGACACAATTACAAAAACCTAACCAACAATCTGCTGTAGATGACACAATTACAAAAACCTAGCCAACTATCTGCTGTAGATGACACTATTACAAAAACCTAACCAACTATCTGCTGTAGATGATACTATTACAAAAACCTAACCAACTATCTGCTGTAGATGATACTATTACAAAAACCTAACCAACTATCTGCTGTAGATGATACTATTACAAAAACCTAACCAACAATCTGCTGTAGATGATACAATTACAAAAACCTAACCAACTATCTGCTGTAGATGACACTATTACAAAAACCTAACCAACAATCTGCTGTAGATGATACTATTACAAAAACCTAACCAACAATCTGCTGTAGATGATACAATTACAAAAACCTAACCAACTATCTGCTGTAGATGATACATTTACAAAAACCTAACCAACTATCTGCTGTAGATGATACTATTACAAAAACCTAGCCAACTATCTGCTGTAGATGATACTATTACAAAAACCTAACCAACTATCTGCTGTAGATGACACAATTACAAAAATCTAGCTAACTATCTGCTGTAGATGACACAATTACAAAAATCTAGCTAACTATCTGCTGTAGATGACACAATTACAAAAATCTAGCTAACTATCTGCTGTAGATGACACAATTACAAAAATCTAGCTAACTATGTGCTGTAGATTATATTATTAGGACATCCCAACACCTATCTGTTGCAGATGTGATTACAAACACCTTGCCACCTAACTGATGCAGATGATACTATTACAAAGATCTATATGAAGATATCATAAATACATCAACATTTATTTGATGCCGATAAAACTAAGAAAGACCTCATCTGGTGTAAATTACATTTATAAAGACCTTTTAACCTGTCCGATATAAATTATATTATGATAAAGACACCAAAATCCATCTGACAGGCTTGTGTTCTCAGTACACTTCTTTACATCAGTGAAACTTGGACAACTTATTTGCACAAGGAAAAATGGTTAAACAGCTTAAACATGTGATGTCTAAGAAGAATACATAGCATTAGGTGGCAAGACAAAAGACCACAAACATTGAAGTACTGCAAAGAGCAGCAGGTATCACAACTGTTTTATCAATGCTCAATCTATTAAGGCTCAGGTGGCTGGGTCACACCTGGAGAATGGAAGATCATAGAGTCCCAAAAGACACCCTCTATGGTGAATTACAACATAAAGATGTGTCAAGTGGGATATGAATGATACAGTTATTGAGGTAGAATCATGGGAACAATATGCGATGGACCATGCTGAGTGTAGGAGAAACAATCGGGAAGGAAACAGAAATAAACGGGGAAAAGTTACTGCAGAAAAGTTAAGAACTGAACATCTGAGAATAAACACAATAACTACATGTGAAGGCAACAACAAAACTGAAATCACATGCTCTAATTGTAAAAGACTTTTTTTTTTTAACATGGGCGTGTCTTGCTAGTCACACACCACTTCTATGGGATGTAATTTGATTGCCTCCCACAGCATAATGCGAACGTCTGGAAAGATGGAAAGGTGCCAGCAAAGAAACCTATCTGATGCAGATGATACTACATATCACAAGGACCTTATCTTCTTCTTCTTTGTATTTACCAGCTGGCGGTTCCTTGTCTCTAAGGCAGATGCCCTTCGTCTTCGAATGAAGCTCCCAATTAGTCGACTCTTAAATGTTTTTGGGCAGGCAGTGGGTCTGTTTTTGTTTTCCCTACAACATGTCCCCACAACACACACAGGGACACAAAGGCCTTATCTGTCTGATGTGGTGATCTGGCTCACAGGCACACACCTTCAAGGACTGAAGCTCCCCTGTCATCTTAGTCTTGGATTCAAATCTGCATAAAGAAAGATTTTCCTTGGCTGCCTTGGCGACTCAGGCTATAAAGGGTACCAGGTAATATCTTGGGAGGTAAAGGCAGCCAGCATGATATTGATGACAAGATCCATTGAGAGCCAATTGGTCTATAAAAAATATAAGTCATATGCCAGATTTGGCACTAGTGTAAAACAGAGCCTTTACTTTACTTAGACACCTTAAAATCATAATTATATCCCCGTGTGGGTTCCGGTGCCCCAATGGGGTGAAAACAAGAATAGACCCAATGCCTCCGGAACAAGCATATTGTAAGAATCGACTAAATAGGGACTTCTTTCAGAGTCAAGAGTGCATCTGCTTGAGAGGCAAGGAACCAGCAGTCTGCATACAAATACGATCTGTAAAATGGATGTGCATGTTCTGGAATACAACTCAATTCCAGAGGTAGACGAATAACCAGAATTTTCTGCTTGAGTTTACAGTCACTGAAAGTGAATAATAAGAAATAAGTGTGCAGAAAGACATCAACAATATATGATTTGGAACCGTGTTCTTTAACCAGTAGACCAGGATGTTTAAAAAAAAAAAAAAAAAGAGCAACACCAATGCAGAACACACGTAGGATAAATGCAACACAAACATTCATCAGTTAATGCCACTCACCTTTCTCTGGGTAAACGTAAGGCATATATCCATGTCACTCTTATCAAAGCCAAACCCATTACAGGAAGACCCAAACAGTGACAACTTAGCATCTATGGAATATTATGGCATATTAAAATTGACATTTAGAGAAGAGAAAAAAAAATACATTTAGGAATGAAAATTGTCAAATGTTATGTATACTCAAACACTACTGTGTGATGTAGAAACCTGGACAATGAACAGGCAATTAGAAAATTGAATTTAGTCTCTGAAAAAAGTAATATGCAGAAGAATGAGATATATTTCACTGGGGGGGGGGGGGGGGGGGGCGCGGAAGATACACATGTACCGGAAGTGGAACAGAGAGCTGATCATTCAGGGGCTATGGCAAACTACTGAATTTAAAAATTTGATTAAAAAACCCACAAGAAAGATAGGGAGAATACACAGGTTCTGAAGAGAACGGAAATGAAAAGAGCTGTTTATGTTTATGATTATTCAACGGATCAACATCATGGCACATGGGTGTAACCCATATGTACTCCATTCTACTTCTAACTCAAGACTAAGTCCGAAGAATCTCAGCACAGCGCACTAACTCCGTTACACTGGTAAGGATCCTGAAATACTTTGGGTAGATTTTTAACTCCAGATTTTGGCCGGGCAGTGCCGTTAGGCTACTCTTTTCCATTTCCAAATGCCACAGAATTTTTTAAGTGTGCAAGAATACACACCTACGTCTGATCCTACTACTCAGATAACAGGGGGAATTACTAGAAGTCCACGTGACACAATCCCAGCCTTCACAGGAGCTTGAACCCGGGACCTCCAGCGCTCGAGGTGGACATCATTCCTCAAGACCACTCAGCCCCCTCAAGAGAGTTGTTGAAAGAAACAAAAGAGACTTTTGGGAGAGAAAATAAAAAACGAGAATTATTTTCTACAGGAATCCAGGCACTTTACTGACCCCCTGGACGCCCTGAACGCAGTATTGAACACTTAGAAAAATGACATATTTGTTCTCTACTTTTTTAAAATATATACATCACACACAAAAAGACATATTTGAGAGTTTCATTTGAAGTCCTCATTTTTAGTTAAAAAACAGGGCACTACAGCGAGCAATGTTATACAGGTACAAGGTAAAGGATTCAGAGGTCGACCAAGCAGAATATGGACTGCAGAAATATCTGAAACACTGAAAAGTACTTTCTATATGGAGCGAACAGATGGGCTCGTTTCAGAAACTCCTTCTTGCCCTGACTCCGCTAGGCATTCCAGGAGTAGAGAACAGAAAAAAGAAGAAGAACCAGTGTTTCATTATAATAAAATATGTGGTTCCAAACATATGTTTTCTGTAGATGACCACACAAATAAATAAAATAATGTTAAATAAAAATAGATTTTTTACTGACAACCTCATAAAGGCACAATAATAATGTAAAAATAACAACAACAACAACAAACAAAACAAAACAACACCTAATAAACAAGATAACCATGTTAGTGGCTGTAGTGAACAAGATCAATGAACACTATAACTCTCTGTTCCTATGTATGCAGGTATGCATGTGTGTATGTAATATCTGTATGGGTGATTGTATATATGTGTGTGTTTGCATGCATGTGTGTGTATGTATGTAATGTGTGTGTGTATGTATGTATGCATGTGTGTATGTAATATCTGTATGGGTGATTGTATATATGTGTGTGTTTGCATGCATGTGTGTGTATGTATGTAATGTGTGTGTGTATGTATGTATGCATGTGTGTATGTAATATCTGTATGGGTGATTGTATATATGTGTGTGTTTGCATGCATGATTGTATATGTGTGTATGCATGGATGCATGTAAAGGTGTGTATGTATGGAATGTGTGTGTGCATGTATATCCATAAATGTATGTGTGAGTGTTTTCTGTTTGTGCATTTATGTCTATGTATGTGTATGTGTTTTATGTTTGTATATGTATGTAGATGTATGTAGATGCGTGTGTGTATGTATCACCTATGTATGTATATGAGTTCGCATATATGAGAACGTAGGAGTATGTACACATGTGTCAGTGTGTAAGATTGTGTACACACGATTTGTGTATGCATTATTCTATAATTTATATTTCTTTATTATATCCATAACATGCTTTATTAATAACAGGTATTGGTACTCTGAAAAATGAGTGCTTAGAAGGGCCAAATGCCAGATGGGCCTGCGTGCCCAATTTGTAACCCTTTGAAAATAAAGTGTGTTCGTTCGTTCGTTCATTTAACCTACTGCTTATGCCGTAAAGTGTCAATGAGAGTAGTTTCAAGTATGATTTTCTGCCTTCTGCTGGTTCCAAAAGAGGTTGGAGAGCTGGCAAGAGATCATGTTTCTTTCAGGCAGACCGTGATGGGAGCAAAGTTCTGCAAAGGACCTGCCACATGATGATTATAATGATGCTGTTGCATAGCTTTTAATAATATCCTACTGCGTTACATCAGTGTCTTTTACTCCATCCATCCATCTATGTCTTTTTTTGTCTGCCTCTTGTCTGGTAGCCTGTTGTTCTCATGTAGTACTGGCTGATTTTGTTCCATTCTGACCAGAATCCACACTATCTTATTCTTTAATGTTGTGTTAAATTATTTATTGCCAATGTGCCTACCATTGTTGTTAGTTTAATGTTAGTGACTGTTCTTTTCTTGTTTCTCCCATGAAATTTCTTGTACATATCTCACATTATGAGATTTTTCTTTTACGATGTCAAGGACTGTCCATGTCTTACACTGATAGCACAAAGTTGGTACAAATGGTACATTTGGAAGGTACACAGAACATCCATCTCTGTCGCTTGTAAAACAAAAAAAAAAACTGACACAGTCTTAGCAAATCCAGCAGCATACACTAGCATTAAATGTATAAGGCAGCAGCCAGAAGTGCCAACACAAACATTCTGACACTAGACATGTAGTTTATTCTGGATGGAAGCAGCAGTTACAACAGATCAGCAGTTGCACACATGATTAATCGCATAAGGTACCGCAAGTTCTCTGGTAACAGACCACCCGCAATTTTCTGAATCTGCATTTCACAACAAACCACTTATGCACAGTCAAAAAACATTCTGGATTAAATGCGCAGTTCACTCAATAGCTGGGCATTTATTTGTTATGAACACTAAATCACTTGTCTGCGTCTGTGGCTTGGGCGTTGCAAATGTGCTAGGTAATGCCGGGATGCCCGGTTCGATCCCAGCTATACACGGTTTGTCTTGCATTGGTTTCGACAATGGTACCAAGAGCTGACGTTTCATATAGCAAACTACTGAATATAAAATTTGCCTAGAAAAAACACAACAGCCACAAAAAACACACGCTAGGGTTGGTTCTGCAACATCCTGTAAAGGACACACAAGAAATTTTACTATTACATCACTCACCTGTAAACTGAACTTGAATGAACTCCTCTAACCCTCTCATAAAGACTTCCCTCTCTACCAAACGCTCCCCACTCAAACCGACCTCAGCTAGAAAAGGCAAAAATAGAAGAAATTTTACAAATATATTCGTGTGCATGTAAATGTTAAAAATAGATCCTGCGGTATCCCCAAAATAAAGGCTGACTTTTTACAGAAGAATATCTGGAAAGAAGGTGAGAAGAAGACCAAAACACAAATAAATGGTGTAGCTGAAACCTGCAAGAGGATGAACAAATCCACTCCTCAAGCCACCCAAGAAGCCACCCAAGAAGCCACCCAAGAAGCCACCCAAGAAGCCACCCAAGAAGCCACCCAAGAAGCGCAAGACAAATACAGAAAACCACGACTGAGCTACAACCCGATATCAGTGAGACAACAAAAAAGAACATCCCCCTCAATCTCTTTCGCAATGTGATTCTCAAACTGCGGTCCCAAATCATCAAGATGGTGGTCATTTTTTGTTTTTGTTTTTAAATAAATTGTCAGCTGCCGAAAACGAACCCTAGTACTCGAGAATTCTGAAACTGTTAAATGCAATCACTAACCTCTATGCCACATAGAAGTTTTCAACTATACTCACAAACAGTGCAGGTGGGTGTTGTTATTTGTGAGTTATCTTGAAGACTGAGTTTAGGAAGACTCTCCTCTTGAGAGTTGGTCCTGCTAGCCAGACCTCGCTATTGTCATGGGCTCATTACGGTCTGAGGAGAATGGCACTGCCAGGAGTTACAAGGGGATCTAGCTGACGCTTGACACTCAGGGAAAAGGCGAGATGGATATACAATCAGACAGTTACTGGTACCATCGGAATTTTGACTCTCCGCTAGCTGCTGAAGATGAGGACGGCGTCCTTATGGGGGTGTTCCGAGTGCTGTGATGTTAATTCTTTATTTAGCATTCAATGGGCTGTGTCCCCCAAGCCTTTATGTAGCAATACATAACATCCTTAAAAGTCGGGAGTGCATCTGCCTGAGAGGCAAGGAACCAACAGTCTGCATACAAATAAGCCAGATCCATAAAATGGGTGTGCATGCAACACTCAGGTTCTGGAAAAGGACTAGTCCAGAAATGGATGAACAACCTGAACTTTCCATCATAATTCACAGCTGGTGAATGTGAAAAAGAAGAACAAACCATCCCCTGGAAAGACAGAAAGCTTCCAACGCCAACAACAGCCCTAATAAATATTCACAATTTACTGTGTGAGCCTCAGAGGCATAGTGGCTAGATGCTTGCCTGCTGGCTCAAAGGTCCTGGGTTCAAATCCACATCACGCAGGATTTCATAATTGATCTAAGGCTCCCAGGTAGATTCAGCCTATAATGGGTACCAGAAACAGTCTAGGGAAGTAAAGGCAGCTGGTGTAGTGGTGACCTGTCAAGTGCCAAGTGGTCTTTAACCATAAGCCTAGCACCATAAGCCCACATAAACAGAGGCATTGCTTTATTTATTTTTTAAATTTCCTTTTAAACTTTACTAGGAGCTGCTGTAGCACAGTGGCTAAACAAATGCCTGCCGGCTCAAAGGTCTCAAGTTCAAATCCGCATCAAGGTGAATTTTTAAAACTGACCTAAGTTTCCTGGTTAACCCATACTAAATATGTACTAGTTAATGTCCAGGGCATGATCTTGATCGCACTAATCTCCCAGTGTCAACTTCTTCTTCTTCTTCTTCAGCATTACGAGCCCTTGAGGTTCATTGCTACAGATATCACCTGCCTTCATTCATCTCTCTGGTTGGCCTTCTCTTTCCAGTTGGTGACACCAAGTAACTGTAGGTCTGTCTGGAAATTATGTCTCCATTGTCTTCTTGGTCTGCCTTGTGGTCTATAACCATTCATCTCCCTTGTGTATACAGTTTTCACTTCTCTGTCATCTAAAATTCTCTCAATATGCCCCAACCATTTCAGTCAGTGTCAACTGGTTTATACAAATGTAAGTCTAGTATCACTTGCCTGGAATGTCACTGGCATAACAAATTTGAGGGGGATGGGCTTTATTTCATTTTCTTTTTAAAACAATTATTAATCAGGTAATTTGCAGTTTCAACCTCATAGCAAATGGGTCACCCTAAAGTTACTTTATTCATGTGCCAATGGAAAGCACATAGAACATCCTGCACTGTCCCTTGTAGAAAAACAAAAACTGACACAGACTGCAGTCTCAGCAAATCCAGCAGCAAACACTAGCATTGAATGCATAAGGTAGCAGCCAGAAGTGCCAACATTTTAACACTAGACATGTAGTTCATTGTGGATGGAAGCAGCAGTTACAGAAGATCAGTAGTTGCACACATGATTAATCGTATAAGGTACCACAAGTTCTCTGGTAACTGGCCACCCATCATTTTCTGAATCTGCAGTTCACAACATAAATTAACCACGTTAAGCACAGTCAAAAAACATTCTGAATGAAATGTGCAGTTTACTCAATAACTGGGCAGTCGAACTAAATCCTTTCAGTCTACATATGATGGAAAATGCAACAGTTAACTATTGTCAGAAGCAAAAACTTGCCACAACTTTATTTTAAGAAAGAAAAAAAGTAAACCTGTCTATTTGCCATACTGATCATTTAAGTATTTGTGCAACAAAGTAATATGGACCCACCTGGTACTTTGCTGAGGGTTTCAGAAAGAACTGTAATGTGAAAGGGGGTCAGTGGTGGCAGCGTATCAACCTCAGGCAAATTATTGTCTGGACAGTCATTCTTCAGATGGCCTTCTTTGTCACAGAATGTACACATCAGAATTGGACCCTGTCGAAAAGATGTAACTCATTAACCCCATTCTCAGACAATAATTCTTGGATCTACTTTGAAAAGCATGTGGTAAAAGGTGACTAATCAAGGGTGTTTCCTTTAAAGTTGGAGTGAGTCTGCCTGAGAGGGAAGGCACCAAACAGTCTGCACACAAAAAAGCTAGATAGGTAAAATGGATGAGCATGCAAAATTAAAGTTTTGGCACAAGACCAAAGAACAGAAATGGATGAGCAACCAGAACCTTCCTCCAGAGTTTACCAAGAGTTGGCAAAGAGCTCATATGTCGGCCAATCAGTGTTAGGTTTGAATCCACGTTCAAGCAAACTTGGCTTCAAAACTGGCTTTGGTTCCCATGCCAACCCAGTTTAAAATGGGTACCACGTAATGTCCTGGGAAGTAAAGGTGACTGACGTGATGCTGACATCATCCACCAAGATCTGACAGGTCTATACAAACAACAGTCTAGCATCATATATCCCATGCCCCCCTGACATAAAAAAGGGTCTTTTACTTAACTTACTCTTAAAGAGGCACTAGGTCTGTCCTTTTTTAGCCCTCAAATGGGGGGCCCCCAGAATCCACACTGGGACAGCATGTATTGTGTTCTCATACTGTTCATAATTTTCCATTGTGTGTGTGTGTGTGTGTGTGTGGGGGGTGTGTGTGTGTGGGGTGTGTGTGTGTGTGTGTGGGGGTGTGTGTGTGTGGGGGGGGGGTGTGTGTGTGTGGGGGGGTGTGTGTGTGTGTCTATATAGATGAGACAGGCATAAATACACAGGAAGCCATGGCAGACCAGTGGCCTGTCAGTCCAAGAGTCTTAAACTGCACCATGGTAGATTTAAAAAAAAAAAATTTTATAACTGACCCAAGAGAAATGACGGTAGATGGCCTAAGATAGTGGCATGGAGGAATATCATCAGTGGGAACTGATCCAGAACACCACAGAAACAAGATCTGTGGATATGCATGAATGCCTAAGCCAGCTGGCAAGGCACTTGAAGATGACAATGACTTAGGCTTTCTGGTCAACCCAGCCAAAAATAGGTATCAGGAAAGTAGAGGTAGCCACCATGATGTTGACCACATCATCCTTGGACTCAGCACTGATTAGTCTTAAAATTTACATTCAGCACCATATGCCTAATGCATTGGCATGAGAAGGGTTCTCTGTAGTTTTTTTTTTAAGCCAAGAGAATGTGATTTCCATTCACATGATGGAGAAGAGAAGAAGATGGTGGAGGAGGAGTAGGCAGAGGAGGACAAGGGAAGAAGATGGAGGAGGAGGAGGAGGCAGAGGAGGAGAAGGGAAGAAGATGGAGGAGGAGGAAGAGGCAGAGGAGGTGAAGAGAAGAAGATGGAGGAGGAGGAGGCCAGAGGAGGAGTTTTAGAAGAAGATGGAGGAGGAGGAGGCAGAGGAGGAGAAGAGAAGAAGATGGAGGAGAGGAGGAGGCAGATGAGGAGAAGAGAAGAAGATGGAGGAGGAGGAGGAGGCAGAGGAGGAGAAGAGAAGAAGATGGAGGAGGAGGAGGAGGCAGAGGAGGAGAAGAGAAGAAGATGATGATGGATTAGGAAAAGAACTCTTATCTAACCAAGAATTTGAGGGACATAGTAGAAAGGCAAACTGGCCATTATATTTGAAAGCAGGAATAGATGCCAGCAGCTTAGTTGTATCTGCCATTGCTGTAAAAATTTATTTGCGATAGAAACTTGTGGAAAGGAGACCATTCCGGTCACAAGATTAATAAAGTGGTGTTTGGTGCACGAGAGTTTATGTATGATGGTTACTGAAAAAAGCTGCTCCACAGAAGTCAGTCAGTAGCCAGACATGCCTATTACGTGGCTAAAAACAAATCATGAATGCCTTTTGCTATACACATAAAGAAGGAAAGACAGAAGAAGTAAAAAAAGGAGGTAAGAACTTTCCTTCATTTAAATAGTTGCATATCATTTACAGAATTCCCAGTGTGTGGGTTCGTGGGTCCCGTTGTGGGGGAAAACAAGAATAGACCCACTGCCCCCCCAACAAGCATGTCGTAGGAGTCGGCATATTGGGGACTTTCTTCAAAGTCAGAATGCATCTGCCCCCAAGTGGCAAGGAACAACCAACTGCACACAAATAAACCAGTAAAACAGATGTACAAACTCAGGCCCTGGCACAAAGCCAAAGTCCAAATGGACGAACAACCAGGACTTTCTGCTGGAGATTACAGACGGTGAACAAAGAAGAAGAAAATTTATAGAATCCCAGCATTTGTGGACTGTGGTTTCACTTTAGTTTCAAGATCATCCTCTGGAAAGATTTGTCTAAAAAACTACCATAAACAAAATTGGTTTTACTAGGCAATTTTAAGCCAGCTGCTTTCCCAGCATTCAAATCTTGGTCAAAATCAATGCAAAGCAATCTGCTACCGTTCATATATATGTGTGTGTGTATGTGTGAGGAAAGGGGGGGGGGGAATTCCACCACATATTAGTAAAACTGATTCAACAGTTAAATCAACGGTTATAATAGCAGAGTTGAATAAACCACAGGAGACTTATCACAAGCTATATAATAATCCTACCTTTCCATCTGTCAGACTTTCCCTTGAGAACTCATAGTAACAGCCCGACTGTAGCACAGCAGAAAACTCCTCCCTCTGTTCTGTTCCTTGATCCTTGGCACCAGATCTATCTGCAGAAGCTTCCTTGGGTGCTAACTGTGAGCTGAACTTATCACTCGGTTCACTGTGTGTCAACTCTGGGTTGAACTTACTGCTCGATTCATCAGGTCCAACATGGATTAACTGGACTTGAGAGTCTGTGTCTTTAAACTGACTAAGGCTGCCACTGCTGCTGTGTTCAGATTGTGGCTGAACAGACTCAGCGTCTTCAGCATCTCTTTGGGCTACTGCATCAGAATGTCTACCATCTGGGCTATCAGCAATAGCTGTATTACTTTCACACACAAAAGAATCAGATCTGGCATCATTACTTTCTTCTGAAGAATTATTCAGAACATCATCAGGCAAGTTAGGGCACAGAGCATCTCTAGTAGCTTTCTCAGAAGAATCAACATAACACAAAGGCTGTGGTGAAACAACATGAGCAGACCAATCCTTGGAATTGTCAATACTCAACTGTTCCAATAGACTAACAAGGCTTGACTGGTGAGATGAAGCAACTGGCTTGAGGGAAGAGTCTAATGGAATGGTTGTGTCTGAGGCAACTAAAGGCTGTGTCTTGTTAAGGTCATGGCTTGAAATGTCTGAAGCTGTTGTTGAATTATGTCCCTGAATATCAGAATCCTTTGATGAAGCCTTGAACACAGAACTAGGGGCAGTTGTACTTGAAGGCTTTGCATCCTGACTAGGACAATCAGAAATGTGTCCACCGTTTTTCGATGTGTGGATCACAATTAAGGCGGTCTACTTTACTGGGGTGGATTACTCGGCCTAATAGAAGAGGGTTTGGTGCTATGACTACAGGGCTGTTGCAATCTTTTTCAATTGGTTTCTCCTTTTTATCAGGTGAATCTCTCTTGTTACTATCAACTGACTCCGCGTTAACACTGTCTACTATTTTCACCCTGCTGTCATGAACACAACTACCTACAGAACTTTCTTTGTCTTGTTCTCTCAATTCAAGTCGCTGAGATGTTCTTTTCAGTGCCACTTTCTTATGTTCTTGCACAGGAATGAAAATTTTCTCTGCTGAGGTCCTCGGCAAGCCAAAATAACGGAGGGCTCTACGTATGGAATCCTGCCAATACTCATACAGGTGGGAATTACCGACAGTGCGAGTGACGTTCTTTTTCAGCATATAAGGATCTGTCATAAACAATAGACAAAAAAATGTAATTTAACGTGAGATCTGTCAACATTTTATAGACAAAATTACTGCTGATGACCTCTACTGCACAGGTTTTAGACAATGATAATCAGAACAAAAGCTTTATAAACAGCATATTAAATAGAGATGTTGGAATGTTATTATACATGCAATATGAAGTTTGGTTCTTTATTAATATTCTACCCCAGATGACAACACAGGATAGTCCAACATTTTAGAGGGTGGTAAGACTGGGTTTCCCGGCTTTCTGATGCTTTTAACGACCTCAAAACATCTAGATCTAACCCACTTAGGTCCCACGAGACAGTGCAGGCTAGGTCCCATGACTGCATGCAGCCTATCTACCATCCCCTGAAATGTTAGATTGTCCCATGACCTGTCAATTTCCCCTGTTTATGGTTAAGATATTAATAAAGCACCTAAAGTTTTTACAGATGTTCTTTATCAGCCTTTTTAAAAACAGATAATCAGAATAAAAGCATAAGAAAGATTAGCTGCACAAACAACATGGACAAAAATCAGACTCAACCCAAGAAAGTTATCTGCAACTGAAAATGTTTCAGGTTAATTAAAATAGGAATATGATCATATTGTGAACAAAGAAGAAAAACAAGTCACTGGTATGTTATAACTGCTACATAACAGTTTTACAGATGAACAGAACAAGAATATGATCAGCTGTGCAAACCAAGGTAAAGACCAATGGGCAGGGCTATTCACTGGCAGCCCGTGGGCCAAAACTGACTCACAAAGGTCTAGAAAGTGGCCTGCGGCTCATTGCTAGTCGTACTGTATTGATCTTTTTATGCTAGGGCTCTGGCCCGTGACGATGCCCCTTTTTCAAAACTGTTACCCCCGAGTGAGCTTTGCTGAAGAGCCCTGTCGTAGGGTGCCTCAATGTAGCTGCTGTGTGACATAGATCAGCAAGGTTACTGCCCCTGTTTGATTCACATCAAAACCGCAGCTCTTTAGGTCACCTGGTGGCAATCTTACAGACTGCAATTTCAGAAGAGACATTTTTTAAATATAATATGACTTATCAGACCTGCAAATTAAGAAAACTTTTAACATATAGTCAGCATCACAGCATAAGAATGACAACAGTACAGAAAAACAAAACAAGACAACTCGCTGAAGCTATCTGCAAGGAAAAATGATGACAGATATATAATCAGATCATGGATATGATCAAAAACATAAACAATAAGATGAGATGGTTTAACCATCATCATTATCAAGTGCCTTGCCAGCTGCGTAGGCATTTACGCATCTCCACAAATCTCGGTCTTTGGTGTTCTGGTTCAATTCCACTGATGATACTCCTCCAGGCCACTGTCTTAAGCTATCCACCATAATTTCTCTTGGCCTGCCTCAGCCTCTTCTCCCAGTGATATTTCCAGCAGTCGAGATATTTTCCAATGCTCCTTTCCTCATCACATGACCAAAGAACTCTTATCTCCTTCGCTTTGTTGTATATGATGTTCTACTTTCACTAGCCATTTCCAGGCAATCATTGTTAGTTATTCTGGCAGTCCAAGGTATTCTCAACATTCTTCTCAAGAACCAAATCTCAGCTGTCTCCAAACTCTTCTTAATTTGTTTGCTCACATTCCAAGATTCACTGCCATACAACAGAAGAGGATTGATATAACATTGGTTTAACCACAGAGAAATATAATATACACAGAGCAAGGGAATAAGCATGCAAAAGGTGGACAAGAAACACCAAGACACTGGGATACTGTCCTACTCGCAACATAAAGTTTTTACAGATAATTAAAACAAGAATATGATCAGTTGTACAAACAAGACAATGCAAGACACTGGGATACTGTCATACTTGCAACATAAAGTTTTTACAGATAATTAAAACAAGAATATGATCAGTTGTACAAACAAGAAAATGCAAGACACTGGGATACTGTCATACTTGCAACATAAAGTTTTTACAGATAATTAAAACAAGAATATGATCAGTTGTACAAACAAGAAAATGCAAGACACTGGGGTACTGTCATACTTGCAACATAAAGTTTTTACAGATAATTAAAACAAGAATATGATCAGTTGTACAAACAAGACAATGCAAGACACTGGGATACTGTCATACTTGCAACATAAAGTTTTTATAGATAATTAAAACAAGAATATGATCAGTTGTACAAACAAGAAAATGCAAGACACTGGGATACTGTCATACTTGCAACATAAAGTTTTTACAGATAATTAAAACAAGAATATGATCAGTTGTACAAACAAGAAAAAGCAAGACACATGGATGCTCTCATACCCTCAACTGCAAGTTTTTTGTTGTTCCAAGGTTTAGTGGTGCGTGGGATTTCCTGGTTGCTGCGAATGGAAACAACGGTATTTGGGGCATCAAACTCTAAGCTGTAATACCTCAGCAGACGCAGCCAAAGCTCACCCACACTCATGTTGTTACTCTTCTCCAGCTTCACATTCAAGACCTGCATTGGATATATTATATTTTATTTATAACAGAAAATGGCCAAATATTCATAGAAGGCAATGTTATATCTCTGCAAACAGAGCATGAATTCTTGCAATATATGATGGGACAGAACATTAATAAAATGAGTAATTCATCAAGGGCTAGAATTAGATTTTAAGCACTTGACTGGTTCAAAATAAAGAAAACCTTTTTTAAATTCAAACTCACTTAAGAATACACCATTAAACTGAACTCCCTGTGTGGGTTCAGGGGTCCATTGTTAGGAAAACAAGAACAGACCCACTGCCTACCCAAAAGCATGTCATAAGAGTCGACTAATTGGGAGCTTCATTTGAAGTTGGAATGCATCCGTATGAGCAACACAGAACCAACAGTCTGCATATAAATGAGTCAGATGTGTAAAACAGATATGAACGCAACACTCAGGTTCTGGAACAGGACTTGAGTCCAGAAGTGAACGAATAAACATAACTTTCTGACAGAGTTTACAACCATTGAAGAAGAAAAAGTTAAATGTGAACCAAATTTTTGTCCCATCAGGGACTTGCTATTTTTAGTCCCTGGTAAGCACAATTTTTAACATGAACTCTTGATTTTGCAATCCCTTGGAATTAGTTATAACAAGATCTTACTGTAATATCTAAATTCACAATGAGAAGAAGAAAAGCTGTGACTTCACTATTGACTGAAACAGTTTTAACATTAGTTTATGTTGACGACATGACAGGCATATTTAAAATGGAGACTGACTTGCTGAATCTGGTTCATCTGCGCCTTTTAGTTTTGCAGTTCTTCCGGTCAAAATGGATGCAAGGCGGGCCACTGTTTTTGGAGCTGAGGCAAATATTTTGCTTCTGCCGGACAGTGGCCGGTGCATTTTTGTTTCATTTGTAGACTGGATATAGTTTTGTCGCCCAGCTTCTGGGTTGAATGCATGGCGTTACACTGTGAGCTGCAGATTTCATTTGGAATATTTTTTCGACTGTGACCAATGTGGTGGTGTTAATTGTACATTAAGAAAATGGCGCAATGCCTGTTGTCGCAATTTTGGTGGTGCCCGTATGTGATTAAAATTGATCGTGTGGGCAACTGCAGATCTGTTGGTGACTTCTGCTACCATCAATAATGAACTGCATTTCTAATGTCGGACTGTTTGTGTTAGCACTTCGGATGGCTTACCGTATGCTTTAATGCGAGTGTATGCCTAGATATGCTGAAACAGCGGTGT